CTGGGCCCGGGTGGCTCCCGCAGGACTCTGGTGCGCGCAGTAGCTTGAGAAGCGCAGGTCCAGAGCGCTGGTTCTCAAACTCTGCTGCATATTACAGTCACCTGGGAGCTTTTTAACCTCCAAACGCAAAGGCTGCCAGGCTGCCCCCGGATCACATGATAGAATCTCCGGGCTGGGGGAACCTCAGATGTATTTTTTTTTAAGCTCTTAAAGCGATTCCAGTGTGCTGTGAAGGTTGGACTCAAGGTGTGGTCCCTGGACAAAGCAGCCCACCCACAGCTACTGAACCGGGGAATCTGCATTTTAACAACATCCCCAAGTGACTTGCAGGTGCCTTAGGTTTGTGAGAAACAACTCTAAGATGCCTTCTGACATTAAGAATCTGTGACTTTGTGAAATGTCTGATTTTGTTTAGCGGGCTCGCCAGGCCCGGTTCGTTCGGCTTCTCCTTTGACTTGATCCCTGATGATGGCTCTGCCTCTGGCGCGCCTGAGATAGGTCCACTCGCTCATGATCAGCGTGCATTCTGCTCAGCGCAGTCTCCCCGCCTGAAGAACTGTTATTAATGCAATCTAAAATGACTACGGTTCTGTGGTCTACTGAACTGCCCACGGGGGTGGGGGTTTCAGACTTTTGGCATCTCAAGAGACTTGAGATTACCGAGACCGGTATACCCACTTCAAGAGGAAAAGGTGACTCCTCACCGAGAGACATGACGAGGTGGAATCAAGGCCACAGGGAACCAGGATGCTGACTCAGGCAACCTGTCCCTGCCGCGCTGCCCTTTGTGCCCTCCATATCATACCGAGCTATTTTTCGTTTTCCATAAACCTGGTGGTGGGTGGAAGAGGATATCAAGCTTGTGTTGGGTGGGATTGATGTAGGCGGTGGGGCTGAGACACCAGACCAGGTTGAGTACTACCTAAAGCAGGGCCAAAGTAGCTTTCCATCAGATAGGCCCACCAGGTGCCATGTCAGTTTACCGTTGCCATGGCAATATCAGGGAGTTACTGCCCCTTTCCGTGGCAGTAACTCAATAATTACTACCGTTTCCTAGAAATTTCTGCATAAACTGCCCCTTAATCTGCATGCAATTAAAAGTGGGTATAAACATAACTGCATAACTGCCCTGAGCTGCTGCTCTGCCTGTGGCTTAGCCCTGCTCTGCAGTCATGGAGCAGTCACCGAGCTGTAACCCCGCCTCTTCAATAAAGCTGTTTTCTTCTACCTCTGACTTGCCCTTGACTTCTTTACTGGGCAAAGCCAAGAACCCTCCTGGGTGAAGCTCACTTTGGGACTCACCTGCCCTGTATCAGGATTACAGGTGGGAACGTTGTGGAGTACAGCAATCCACTGATACTGCCTCTGGTCTGCATGAGGGAAGGGTGGGCAGCACAGACCATAGCTTCAACCGTTGTTCTTGGGGACAGGACAAGGGGAAGAGGTGATTTCCCAGGGACTGAAAGGTGGGTGGTTTCTGGCTACCTAACATCTACTTCCTCTCTTCCCCATGCAAAGAGGGTGATGTGGATGACATCAGTGTCGCCCTCCTCAGTCAAGGGGCAGACACTATGTCGAGATTTAAATCCTGTCCCCACCAGCAGAGGCCCTCTGAGGCCATCCCACCCAGGGACAATGCCTGTGGGCTTCCTGGCTCTAGGAGCGCTTGGGAATCTGCCCCTTCAGCTGCTTCTCTAGCCCTCTCAGTGAGGCTACGTCCTCCTCAGATCCTTTGACTTCTGTCTGTAAAGTAAGTTTTTGTAGTCTTAGCTTAGGCAGTGATAATATGCAGAATTTCTCTCTATTTTCAGGGTTGAGATTTTGACGCTAAAATTGCAAACCCAAATAATGAAAATAAATAAGCATAAATAGTCTCTAGCCTGTATTCATATAAATAACTGAATGAGTGACTAAATGGGGTGAAGGGACAACTATTTTTTTTTCCTTTGAGGCAAGATCTCACTCTGTCACCCAGGCTGGAGGGCAGTGACATGATCTCAGCTCACTACAGCCTGACTGACAACTCTTTTTTGCAGAATTCCAATTAATACAAGTGGAAGGAAGGAGAGACCTGGTAAATCACAAGTGAAACATGACTGCAATCATTGCGGCAGTCAGGGTCCCCAGATGTGGCACAATTAGCTGGTGACAGCTTAAGGAGAAGCAGGATATTTGCAGAGCCTCAAAGTATCTCTCCGAAAATAGATGTTTATCAATAACAAAGGGAAAAATAGTAACTTTGCAGTGAAGAAAACTGGCATCCCCACCTTAGCCATGTGATTCAGGTTTACCTCTCCAGAAACAGGTTGACATAGGAGGCACTGGAAAGAGCACAGCACCATGGAATTTCCCTGACCAACAATGCACAACCTCATTGTGGGAAAACATTAGACAACCCAAGTGGAGGAACATTTCTACGAAATAACTGACCAGGACCCTTCAGAAGTCTCAAGGTCACAAAAGATAGGAAGACTGACAACTGTCACAGATTAAGGAGGCAATGACTCCTATCAAGTGAAATCCTGGTTTTACCTCCTTGCAGATTACTTCTCCAGTAGAGTTGTACTACAGTTATGTAAGAGGTTAATATAAGGGGCGTTGGGGGAAGGGTACAAAGGAACACTCTACTGTAATTTTTGCAACACTGTCTGTCTAAAATGATCTTGGCTGGGCATGGTGGCTTATGCCTGTAATCCCAGCATTTTGGGAGGCCGAGGCAGGTGGATCACTTGAGGTCAGAAGTTCAAGACCAGCCTGGCCAACATGGTGAAACCCTATCTCTACTAAAAATAATAACATGATAATAATATAAAAATTAGCCAGGCATGGTGGCACATGCCTGCAATCCCAGCTACTTGGGAGGCTGAGGCACAAGAATCCAGGAGGCTTGAACCCAGGAGGCAGAGGTTGCAGTAAGCTGAGATCCTGCCACTGCACTCCAGCCTGGGGGACACAGCTAGGCTCCATCTCAAGAAAGAAAACAAACAAAAAAAAGATCTTAAAATAAAAACTTTTAAAAAGTATCTTGATAAGTTTTAAAATGCAGTAAAATTTGTTACTTAGTAACAAATGTGTTACTTAGACTAAAGATCTTCCTGGCAAACCTTAATATGTAAAATTTCACTTGGGAAAAATATACTTTGTCAAAATAATGACCACAAAAGGAGACTGACAATGGGAGAAATTGTTTAAATCTGAAATGAGCAAAATAACCAGATATTGAATCAAATCTTTGTTGCAAAATTTTTTTTTTTTTTTTTTAGACGGAGTTTCGCTCGTTACCCAGGCTGGAGTGCAATGGCGCGATCTCGGCTCACCGCAACCTCCGCCTCCTGGGTTCAGGCAATTCTCCTGCCTCAGCCTCCTGAGTAGCTGGGATTACAGGCACGCGCCACCATGCCCAGCTAATTTTTTGTAGTTTTAGTAGAGACGGGGTTTCACCATGTTGACCAGGATGGTCGTGATCTCTTGACCTAGTGATCCACCCGCCTTGGCCTCCCAAAGTGCTGGGATTACAGGCTTGAGCCACCGCGCCCAGCCTGTTGCAAAATTTAATAAAAAGTAATGAATTACAAATAAAATTCCGTAAAGGAAAAGGAAGGAAAATGAAATCATTCCTAGAAAATCGATTACAGGCTTAAATTACTTAATGAAGAGATTTTTTTCTTTGTATGCAATTAGAGAATGTGAATATATTTGTGACCATAAGTTCCTAAACAGAGCATATCAAAACGTTCTGTTTTTGTTTGTTTGCTTGTTTAAGATATCTAGATGTACGGTTGAGGAAGAATGGACAACATATGCAAATTCTGCTTCAAGGTCACACAGTGCTTTAAAATATGGAGAGGCTTGTTTCCGCATAAAGTCTAATAGCATTGCCTGGACAGGGACTTATGCCCAAAATGACTAAAGAAATGAAGTCCCTGGGAACATGCAAGTAAATTACATCACCAAGCCAACTTCTGTCCTTAGTTATTAATAGGAAAAAAAATGCACCAGGGCCCCACTTCCAGTTGCCTTGCACAGGGAACATATAGTATCCTAGTACCTAGACACTGTATGTCCCTACTCTAAAAGCAGTCATGGTGGCATCAGGGGTCCCATGGCATTATCAGTTCAGACGCTATATCTAACAGCCCTCAAAAGAGCTACAGAATCCTTTATAAGCAGAAATATTCCAAAGAACTTTTAAGGATATATTTGCTCACTCTTCTGGCATTGGAGACTGCGGGGAACCAGCCCTACGTCACCCGTGGTGGCCTGAGTTCGGTGGGACAAAGGAATGAGAAAAAGACAGGTTAAGAGAGAAAGTGGGATCAGGGGGCCATCACTTTATTACGCTGGAGGAGACAGTGAAGGCACTGAATTCTGATCCACACTATTCATTGGTTACAATCACTTTGATCAACAGGGTCCGGGTGGAGTGATGGTGGGGAGAGGGTAATGGTGGAGTGAATCAGTGAGCCAGAACTGGTGTGTCATCCTAAGGATTGATAACAGTGGCAGTTTGGGAGTTTCACAAAACAAGAACATGTGGTTATCTTTAGATTGTTATCTATGTACAGCTGGTGGAACACGGGCCTTATAAGGAGCCTACAAGTCTGGCTATATCATAGTGCTATGAAAGGGTTTCACATCCTTGAGCACAATGTTTATGGTAACAAAGCCTAGGTCACCCTGCACCAGAACGGGAGGCATGGAGAGGCCTTCCTCCCCAGAGGCCTCCTGCAGCCTTCCAGAGTTTATTGTTCCTGATTTCTTTTATACATATAACCAGTTTATGTAGGCACTCTGTAAGTCCTTTCTCCTTTGCTGCTTTTCCCAATGGGAGATTATCAGAAGCCCTTATCTACTTTGCTGCCTTTCCCAACGGGAGATTATCAGAAGCACTTATCAATTCGTGGACAGTCACTAATGATTTGGCTGGCCGGCTGGGAAATTGTAAAGAACAAGATTGGAAGGTTAATGTCAAGGAAGACTAGAGAAGTATTTAAATATACCTTTCAGACTGGGCGTAGAGTGTGGAGATTTTATAGTCCTGTGTGAATATTCACCAAAGGGAATCTAATACAGAGGAGGTTTTCAATAATCAGGTGGACAAGCTGACACATCCTATGGATCACACAGCCAAACCATCAGTCAGCCTCTTTCTTAGTCACCCCAGGTCCTAGTTAATGGAACCAAATACAAAGTAGCCATGTTGTAGGGATGGAGGCTATGCACAGACTCAGCAACACAGTCTTCCTCTCGGCAAGACCAGTCTGGCTACTGCCACTGCTGACTACCCAGCCTACCAACACCAGAATCTAATAATGCTGACCTCTTAATACGGCACACTTTTCTGAGGGTGGGAAGCAGCCAGCCACCTGGAAGCAGGTTGATGCCATTGTACCTCTTTTATCATGAAGAAGTGATTTGTCCTCATCAAAATGTATATGTTCTGTATACAGATATGCATTCCTTGTCTGTAATACTTCTGCTATATAAGGACAGAATGTCATTCACTACCATGGCATTTCTTACGAGTTTGTGTCCTCCCCCTAACTTCACATGTTGAAGTCCTAACTCCCAGAATGTAACCTTATTTGGAAATAGGGCTATTGCAGACGTAATTAGGTGAGATGAAGTCATTAGGGTGGGATCTAATCCAAGAAGACTAGGAAATAAAAGGGGAAATTTGGACAGAGAGACATGTACAGGTGGAGTCTGGCATGTGTAGATGAAGGCAGCAAACAGGGTGATGCTTCTACAGGTCAAGGAATGCCACAGACTGCCAGCAAAGTACCAGAAGCTAGTCAAGAAATATGGTCTTGATTAATGTGACTTTATAATAAATCCTGAACTTGAGTATTGTTGGTCCTCAACTTTGTTCTTCTCCTTCAATATTGTGTTGGCTGATATGGGTTTTGCTTCTCATAAACATCAGGATCAGTTTGCCACTATCCACAAAATAGCATTTTGATTGAGATTGCGTGGAATCTAGATCAAGCTGGGAAGCACTGATATCTTGACAATATTGATTCTTCCCATCCATGGACATAGACTATCTCTACATTTATTTAGTTCTTCTCTGATTTCCTTAATCAGAGCTTTGTAGCTTTCATTTAGATTTTGTGCATATTTTGTTAGATTTATATCTGAGTACTTAATTTCGGGGAGCTGCTAATGTAAATGACATTTTTGCATGTCATATTTCACTCGTTCATTGCTGCCAGATAGGAAAGCAATTGAATTTTGTAAATTAACCATGCATCCTGCAACCTTGCTATAACGGTTTATTAGTTCTAAGAGATTATGGTTGTTTCTTTCAGACTTTCTGCACAGAAAATCATTTCATCTGTGAACAAAGAGCGTTTTGTTTCTTCCTTCCCAATCTGTACACCTTTTATTTTCTGTCTTATTGCATTAGTTAGAACTGCCCATAAAATGCCGAAAGGAGTGGTGAGAGTGGACATTCTTGTCTTGTTCCTGATATTAGCAGGCAAGCTTCTTGCCATTAAGTATGTTAGCAGCAGAATTTTTTTTAGATGTTCTTTATAAAATTGAGGAAGTTACACTCTATTCCTAATTTGCTAAGAGTTTTAGCATAAAGTGTTGGATTTTGTGAAATGCTTTTTCTGCCTTTACTGATATGATCATGTGATTTTCCTTCTTTAGTCTATTGATATTATGGATTACATTAACTACTATTTAAATGTTAAACCAGCCTTGGATACATGGGACATCATTGTTTCTTCCATTCCATCATTTGCTGCATTCGTTTGGACTGAAAAGTGGTTACACTTAGTGTAATCACTAATATGGATTTACTTCTGCTATTTTACTTGTTTTCTGTATGGTTTGTAACTTTTTTGCCCCTCATTTTCTCCATGACTGTCTTTTGTGTTTATTTATTTATTTTTGGTAGTGATATCTTTTGATTCCCTTCTCATTTCTTCTTGTGTTTTCCATAGGTATTTTCCTTGTGGTTACCATAAGCATTACATATGACAACCTAAAGTTTAAACAATCTAAACTGATTCCAAGTTAACTTCAATAGCATGGAAAAACTTATGCCTGTACAGCTCTGTCCCACACCCTTTGTTATTGATGTCCCAAATCTTTATACATTGAGTGTTCAGTAACATAATTTATTTTTATGTCTTTGTCTTTTAATTCCTTAGAAAATAAAAAGTGGAGTTACAAGCCAAAATTACAATAATATTGTTTTCATTTGTTTTATATTTGCCATTGTATTTACTTTACCAGTGTCTTAGTCTATTTTTCTTCTACTATAACAGAGTACCACAGACTGGATAATTTATAAAGAAACTTATTTGACTCAAGGTCCTGGAAGCTGGGAAGTCCAGGAGCACAGGGCCAGCATCTGGTGAGGGCCCTTGTGCTGCATCATCCCATGGCAAAAGGTGGAAGACAAGAGAGTGTGTGAGACAGAAAAGGGATCAGGGCTGAACTTGAGAATCTTTTTTATCAGGAACCCACTCCCATGATAACTAACTCACCCCCATGATAATGGTGTTAATCCATACATGATGGCAGAGCCTTCATGACCTAATCACCTCTTAAAGGTTCCACCTCTTAATACCATCACAATGGCAATTAAACTTCAACATGCATTTTAGAAGGGACATTCAAACCACAGCCACCAGAAATACATTTCTTCACTCAGGTTTGAGTTATTGTCTACCGTCCTTTCATTTCACCCTGAAGGACTCCCTTTAGCATTTCTTGTATGGCAAATCTAGTGGTAACAAGCTCCCTAACATAGATTTATAATTGATTTATGGTTTTAAATCCTATGGAAAATAAAAAGTTATGAACTAAAGTTACAAGAATACTGGTTTTTATATTTGTCCTAGAATTTATCTGTCCTGGAGATATTTATTTCTTCATATGGGTTCAAGTTACTATCCAGTGTTCTTTCATCTCACTGAAGGGCTCCCTTTAGAATTTCTTGTCAGGCACATCTCACAGTAACAAGCTCACTAAGCTTTTGGTTTTAATCTAGGCATGTGTTAATTTCTCCCTATTTTTTGGAGGACAGTTTTGCTGGATATATAATTCTCAGTCGACAGGTTTTTTATTTTCTTTCAACATTTAAAATATATCATCCTGTTGTCTTCTGGTCTCCATGTTTCTGATTAAAAATTAGTTGATAATCTCAATTAGGACCCATTGTATGTGATGAGTTGATTCTCTCTTGCTACTTTGAAAATTCTTTGTTGATTTTTGATAGTTTTCATACAATGTGTCTTGGTGTGAATCTCTTCAAGTTTATGGTATTAGAGGCTGTGTAGAGGCTTTTTGGATTTGTAGACTTACATATTTCATCAAATCTGGGATGTTTTCAGCCCTTATTTTTAAAATAATTTTTGTTTTTTTCTAAGACTGACTCTCACAAATCATATGTTGGTCCACTTGATGGTAACCTACAAGTTTTTAGGTCTATTCACTTTTCTTTATTCTTTATGTTCCCCAGACTGGATAATTTCAATAGCTCTATCTTCAAATTTGCTGATTCTTTCTTCTGCCTAATCAAAAACTCTATTGAAGGCTGGGTGCAGTGGCTCACACATGTAATCCTAACACTTTGGGAGGCTGATGTGGGTGGATCACAAGGTCAGGAGTTTGAGACCAGCCTGGCCAACATGGTGAAACCTTGTCTCTACTAAAAATACAAAAATTAGCTGGGTGTGCCGGCACGCACCTGTAATCCCAGCTACTCGGGAGGCCGAGGCAGGAGAATTGCTTCAACCCAGGAGGTGGAGGTTGCAATGAGCTGAGATAACGCCACTGCACTGGGCGAGAGAGCAAGACTATCTAGGAAAAAAAAAAAAAGAAAAAAAAAAAAAAAAACTCACCTCTATTAAACCCTTCTAGTGATTTTTTCATCTCAGTGTTGCGGTTTTCAGATCCAAAATTTCTACCTGATTCTATTTTATAATTTTTATATCTTTACTGATATTCTCATTTTGTTCAACCATCATTTCTCTGATTTCATTTAGTTGTCTTTTAACTCTGAGCATATTTAAGGCAATTGTTTAGTCTTTGTCTAGTAAGTCCACAGTCTCGGATTCCTTAAGGATAGTTCCTTTCAATTAATTTTATCCCTGTGAATGAGCCACATTTCTTTTTCTTTGCATGCTTTGTGATATTTTTGTTAAAAACTGATTTGAATATTATAATGTACAATGGAAATTAGACTTTCACCCTTCTCTAGGGCTTATTATAATTATTGAAAGATGTAGTAGTCTATACGTTGTTACTTTTCAATAATACTAATTATATTATTACTACTATTATTGAAGGCTATAGTAGCTCATGTTTATTTTCTAAATTATTTTTGCAGATTGTATTCTTTGTCAAGTGGGGTCACTGAAGTCATTGTTCATGTGCAGTTAGTTTTGACAAAAATTTTCTTGAATTACAGGAGCTTTATAAAACACACACACACACACACACACACACACACACACACACACACACACACCTTCCAGTCATTATAGATCAGTTTTGTACTGGGATCCTCCAACACTTATCCAGGCTTGCACCAAACCTAGGAATCAACCATAAGTAAAAAGCTTATGGTCTGCTCAGGACTTTTCTGAGCATGTGTTTTGCCCTGTGGCCTTCTAAGCTCCCCTGCACATTAGTTATTTTGAATGTCTTAATTTCCCAAAGAATCTCCCCTAGCTTTTCTTCCCAAGCTTTAGGTGGTCTATTATTTTGACTGTAAAGTTTTGCCCCAGTTGTCTGCAGGTTTTCAGTTCTCCTTAGAGCATTTTTGAGCAATGCCCAAATGCAAATTTCCAGCTTGGGTTCTGAGTTAGAAGGAACAGAGAAGAGCACATTTTGTCAGTCTTTCAAGAAGTTCCGTAGACAGGTTAAAACAGACATAAGCAATACTTTGTAAGTAAAGTCTGATCTGTGAATAAAGCTTGATCTGAACCAGACACTAGAGTTCCACACTGAGGAAATAGGCTGGAACTGCCTCAAGACTGCCTCTATGCTAGAGGCGTTGAGGGCAAGATCAGCTAAAAAATGTCACAAGGCTTCCTCAAGTTTTCAAGTAGTCTTTTTCTTGATTTGCTTGGTTGCTGTAAACCTCTGACTGTTTTCCAGAATTCTAACATAGTTTGACAATTTCTGCTTGTTTTTTTATGTTTCTGTGTGGGAACAAGCAGTTGGATCTGCCTGTTCCACCATTTTGCTGATGTTACTCTACATACATTCCTGATTAAAAATACTTGAAAGTTGAAAAGTAGATGTACTAAAATTCACCTTAAAACATATGTGTGTGTGTGTGTGTGTGTGTGTGCATATATATTATTTATTATATATATATACACACACACACACAAACTGTATACACACACACACACACACACACACACACACACACAAACTGCTAGGCTCAAGCAATCCTCCTGCCTCGGCCTCCCAACTAGCTAGGACTACAGTCATGCAACCCCATGCCCAGCTAATTCTTTTTAATTTTGGAGAGATGGGTCTTGTGTTGTCCAGGCTGGTCTGGAACTCCTGGCCTCAAGTGATCCTCCTGCCTCCATCTCCCAAAGCACTGGGCTTATAGGAATTAACCAACATGCCTTAAAATATTTAAAATATTTTTTAAATTGTGGTAAAAAAACAAGTGTAATATAAAATTTACCATCTTAACCATTTTAAGTGTAAAGTTCAATAGTGTTAAGTGTATTTACACTGTTGTGCAAAAGATCTCTATAACTTTTTTCTTTTGAAAACTGACTCTATATCCATTAAGAAATTCTCTATTTCCTCCTTTCCACAGCCCCTGGCAATCATTATTCTATTTTCTGTTTCTATGAATATGACTTAGATCCCTAAGTGGAATTATATGTTTTTATTTTCTTATTAATGGACTAATTAATATAGTGCCCTTGAGTTTCATCCATGTCGTAGCATAGGATAGGATTTCCTTCCTTTTTAATGCTGAATAATATTGCATTGTATGTATATACGTTTACCCATTCACCCAATAATGGATATTTGCATTGGGTTCCCCCTCGGCCTGTCAATAGCGAAACAAGGAATACTGGTGTGCAATTCTCTCTCCAGGACTCTGCCTCCAGTTCCTTTAGATATATGCCTAGAAGTGTGTCCTTCCTTCCTCCCTCCCTTCTTTCTTTCTCTTTTTCTTTTTGAGGAACCTCTATGCTGGTTTCCATAGAAGTTACATTAGTTTACATTACTACCAACAGTCCATGAGGGTTCCAATTCTCTACATCCTTACCAATATGTATTTTGTTTTCCTGATAATGGTCCTAATAGGTGTGAGGTAATCTCTCATTGTGATTCTGATTTGCATTTCTCTAATGACTAGTGTTTAGCATCTTTTCATACTTGTTAGCCGTATCTACATCTTTGGAGAAATGTCTATTCAGGCCTCTTGCCCATTTTTCAATCGTGCTTTTGTTATTGTTTAATTGTATGTTTCTTATATTATGAATATTAACCCCTTATCAGATATATAATTTGTAAATATTTTCTTCCATTTCATGTCTGTCTTTTCACTCTATTGTTTCCTCTGATGTGCAAAAGTTTTTAACTTTGCTGTAGTCCCATTTGTCTACTTCTTGCTTTTAATTCTTGTTCTTTTTGTACCATATTCCAAGAAATGGTCAAATCCAATGTCATCAAGCTTTCCCTCTATGGTTTCTCCTAGGAGTTTTAAGGTTTAAAATCTTTTATTTAGATCTTAATCTATTCTGAGTTAATTTTTGTATACAGTGTAAGGTACAAGCTCCATTTCATTCTTTTGCATATGGATATCCAGTTTTTCCCAACACTATATATTTGTTGAAGAGACTGTCCTTATCCCATTGCATGGTCTTGGTATCCTTGAATATCATGTAACATTTACATATCCATTTCTGTGTACTCTATTCTGTTCCATTGGTCTATATATCTATGTTAATCATTGGAAGGCCAAGGTGGGAGGATCACGTTGGGCCAGTTCGAAACCAGCATGGGCAACATAACAAGACCCTGTCTCCACAAAAAAATAAAAGAATTAGCCAGGCATGATGGTGCTCACCTGCAGTACTTGCTTCAGGAGGCTGGAGCAGGAGGATCACTTGAGCCCAGGAGTTCCAAGATACAGTGAGCTATGTTCATGCCATTGCATGCCAGCCTGGACAGCAGACATCTGAGTTTAAAAAAAAAAAAAAAAAAGAAAGAACAAAGAACAAAGAAGAAGAAGAGGAAGAGGGGGAAGAAGGAGAGGAAGAGGAGGAGGAAGAAGAAGAAGAGGAGAAGGAAGAGGAGGAAGAGGAAGAAGAGGAAGAAGAAGGAAAGCAGATCACTTATTTTGTTTTTAGGTTTATCTGATGCTTCCTCATAATTAGATTCAGGTTGTGCTTTTTCACTCCTAATGTGGTGCTCTTTCTGGATGGATCATTTCAGAAGGCACATGATGTTGGTACGTTCCATTACTAATGATAACTTTTTCTTAGATAGGGTGGTATCTACCAGTTCCTTTCACTATAAAGTTAGTATTTTCTCGTTCGTAAGTAGTAAGTATTTTGTGGAAAGCTATTGGAGACTATATTCTGTTCTTCACAAACTTCCACCTTCTAGTTTTGCCATTCACTGGCGGGCATTGCTTAAGTCAATGACTACTGTGATAATTTGCCAAATAGTGGCTTTCTAATTCCAGTTTCTTTCTTTTTTTTTTTTTTTTTTGGAGACGGAGTTTCACTCTTGTTACCCAGGCTGGAGTGTAATGGCGCGATCTCGGCTCACTGCAACCTCCGCCTCCTGGGTTCAAGCAATTCTCCTGCCTCAGCCTCCTGAGTAGCTGGGATTACAGGCACACACCACCATGCCCAGCTAATGTTTTTTGTAGTTTTAGTAGAGACGGGGTTTCACCATGTTGACCAGGATGGTCTCGATCTCTTGACCTCGTGATCCACCCGCCTCGGCCTCCCAAGTGCTGGGATTACAAGCGTGAGCCACTGCGCCCGGCCTAAGTTTCTTTCTACATTTAATAGCTGGCACTCTACTCTAAGAAAGAGCCTTTTACCCTCATTGATTCATCTGTGTATTTTAATGCATACCAATTCAGTAATATATAGACTACATACTCCTAATTCATACCTGTGAAGTATTTGGAAGAATCACAATGTCTGCAGCTAACTCAGATATTTCAGCAAAACAACAACAGTGTACACACACACACACACACACACACACACACACACACACACACACACACACGGTATTAACGCAAATGTGGAAAATGTTACCAATCATTCAATCCAGGTGAATGGTACATGGGAGATCAGTGTACTATTTTGTAACCTTTTTGCAGATCTCAATTTTTTCACAATAGAAGGTAAAAAATGTATAGCAGTTTTAATTGAAACACCATTCAAACCTTCACCCATATTTGCAAAAAAAAAAAAAATTAAAATAAGCCCACAGATTTATCAGCACAAATATATTCCAATTTTATTACCATTGTCTATAGAAATTTAACACTAGCCA